CCATGACGTGCCTAATATGATCCCTAATCTTCATCTCGCCGTCGCCCTGAGTGAGTGCAGCTGCGGCGGTGTGCGTCGCCCCGGGGCGTGGCGTGGCGGGCGGGGCGGGGTGCGGCCGGGAGAGGGAAGGGAATCGCTGCGCGCCTAGCGCCGCGTACGAGTCCAATTCATTCACCTGATGGCTGACACGCTACGCTACGCCACGACTAGCTTGGCACTGCCTGGTGGTAATTCCGTTCGGCGTGTCGTGTTTCTTTTTTCTTTATTTTTCTTTTTTTCTATATCGTCTCTGCCCCCCCCCTCTCTCTCTCCCCAATTCCGCTGATTCTGTCCTGCGCGCGTCAGTCGACAGGAGGGTGGGGGGTCCTCTTCACGGCGGAAGGATTACCGCGGTGAAGTGATGCGTGGCCCCCAGGCCAGGCCCGGTTGATGTCCCGGCCTGGCACGCCATGGGCCTATGGCTGGGCGCCCGGGCTCCATCTCACCGTCCCAGCCCATTCGTTTGCTTTTTTAAAGTCGGACGCAAAACTGAATCATTTATACATATCCCTGCGTAATATGTCGATGTATAGAGAAACTTCAAGAGAAAACATAAATGTTTTAAAACTATCCTATTTTTGTACCAAAAACTTTGGTTTGTTAAATTCCGTTTTCATTTTTGTGGTTTGCAGCTCGTTTGTGCAATTTATAAGGAGAATCCTTTTCTCCCAACGGTCCCCACACTCTTATCATATCAAATGTGACTCGGACGCAAAATAATTGCTTCATTTCTTGGTGCGCGGTGTGTGGTTAGTAATCTGGGCTCGCGTGTTCAGCGACCGCTGGCCCTCCCTCCGTGCGCTTTGCTGTGTACTGTGTACGCCGCCATTTGGAGGTGGCGCCCGCGACGCAAATGCAGGCGCTGTTGGCATTATGAAATATAATGCGGCGCGCCGTTCGACTGCTTGGGCTCGACTCGGCGGGATTAGAAGTGGAAGGGAGTCCCTTATTCTTACATCCTGAGTCCATTAGTGGGAGAGGGTGGTCGGTCGGCCGGTCGGTAGGCCAGTGCGGCGGTGTGCCGAGCCGAGGGGGTGCTTGGTGATTTCTTTTCTGCACTCTAAAGGAGCCCCTCTCTCATTCCCTCTCTCCCCTGTCCCTCTCTCGCACTCCACCGGCAGAGCGATGCTGAAAGAAAACGGCTCGACGCGCGCGCAGCACAACTTTTAATAAAAGTTTGCCTCCCTCTGTCGATGAAGAATTGTTGTTTTGTGGAAAATCATGTTCCCTATTGTATTTGTGGCATCACGCGAACACGCGTTGTGGGAAAAATTGCCCCACAAACTTTAGGTTCCATATGTTAGGATACGTAAATTGAATGTACTTACGAAGAATCGTTTTGACATGAATACAGATTTTGGTTGCAATTTTTACATTGGAGAGAACGAGCGCTAGTCAATTGGGAATGTGAAATGCGGTGAGGAGATGAGCAGTCGGTGGTACTACACACGGCAGTCTTGTGTTTGTTTGCCCGACTCGCACTCTGAATGGCGTGCACTTAGGCCCCTCTGATGCCGGCCGGCTGATACACCCCGCTTCCAGGAACCAATGCGTGACTGCGTGAGCGCGTCCGGTTATCTGCTACGCCACTGCTGGTTGACGCGCGCAGGCCGGCTTGTCTCCTCCTCGCCTCGCTGCTACCGCCCCGATGACGACCGGAGATAGCCTGGCGGGGCGCGGCGGGGCGCGGCGGGACGCCCCTTGTGCCGTCGCCTGCCTCACCCAGATTGGCCGTCACAGTCGGCGGCGCATCACAAGCAGCTCGACCCTATTTATCATATATTTGAAATCGATGTGCGGCCGCGCCGCTCCGCTCGCCGCCGCCTTCCACAGGAGCAGAGGTGGTCCCGGTGGGGCCGGCGGACAAGGCGGTGCCGCGGTCCAGGCCGCCTGACGGGCGGGGTGCGTCCGTCAGGCGGCCTTTCTCATTTGCTTCCAGTTCCCCCGGCTGCTAATTAAGCGCTATCGTGATATACTTACCCCACCCGAGGAATGTGGGCGCTCCCTGCCCGCCGAGAAGGTAGTAGAGTGCCTGTAAATAACGCCAGCCGCGCAAGGACGGCCGTGGAAAAACGTTTTCCTTCGTTTTTTTCCCGCGCGCCCCCGTTCAAAAAGACCACGCGAACTTTGTGTGACCATCGCGTCCGCACCACCCCCGTGCCATTCGCCTGCCTGCCTGTCCCCGATGGCCCACTACAACTGGCTTAACGTCCTCCCCTGCGATCGCCAGGCGGGTAGG